CCTTTCATTCGCTGATGATACCAAAATTTCAAAATGTATAAAATCAGAAGATGACTGTATTCATCTTCAAAGAGATTTGGATCGTGTAGCAGATTACTATGGACGCAATTTATTAAAGTTAAATGTTAACAAAACAAAACTAATATCATATCATCGTGGATCAATGAAATATGAATATAATTACCACGTGGATGGCGTGCAAATTGAAAGAGTTGAAGTAATGAAGGAATTGGGAGTATTGCTTGATCTAAGGATGAATTTCAAATCACACATCGAGCATGTTGTGGCTAAGGCAAAATTGATTGGCTTGGTTAAAATTCAACAGCAGGGATTTTGTCGACCCATGGACGTTAAAACACCTTTACTTTACATTTATATTCCCGATAATTGAGTATGGATCTGAAATATGGAATCCACACTACGACAATATGTGCAAAAGAATAGAGTCAATACAAAAACAATTTTTATTGTATGCTCCAAGGAATGGCCTAGAACGATTTTAGACTGCCAAAATACGAACACAGACTACTATTTCTGCAAATGATTACTCTTGAGGAGAAACGCAAGATGGCGCAAGTGTCTTTTATTTTCAAAATTATTCACGGAGATTTAAAGTCAACTTATGTTTCAAACAGTATGAAATATTAAGATTCAGCACATGATACCAGAGCAACACCACTATTTGATTTACCAATTAGGAGAACTGATTACACAAAATATGAACCAATAAATTATATGCTGACATCATTCAACGATTTTTATACGAAAAAAATGACAAACAGTGATGAAAATATAATTGATTTAGAAGTAAATTTATCAACAGTAAAACTGAGAATAGAAAGCTATTTAAAGCAAAGCAGATAAATAAAAGATATTTTTTATGGATTGTAGAAATATTGAGCAGTTGGAAAATTGATTTATGAAATTTATATTATTATTTACATAAAAGGAAAGAAACAATAATTTTTCATATTCTCTCTCAAAAATGCTTGATAAAAATCAAATTGTATTATATTAGGAGGGTCAGACATTTTTTTTCAACAAAGTTTTTTCTTTTTGCTCAAAAAAAGATACTGATCCTCCTATATAAGATTCATTTACACTTTCAAAATCGATCCACCCTATACATAATAATTTCTCATATTATTCATTTTTCAAACTTATTAATCAAGATGAAAAACACATTTAAGTTTCACTATGGCGTTGACTATTCCTTATTTTGCAATTGGAACATTCCTAATTCTCATTGTACGATATATGTATTGTATGGTTGCAAATCTACGTATTGCAGGAACCTTTCTTGAAAATACTTAAGCTTTAGAGGGTTTTCTCTTTTTGAGAGATTTGGAATTATCGGGAAAATGATCTGACCGGAAAAACATTTTCGGGAAATAAACTTTTTTTGGACATAATTGTAATGTTTGGCTTTACATAATATGGACCGTATTGAATGGTGTCCATCGTTTTATCCGATCGATTCGAAGTTCCTAGATATCAGCTTCAAACTCGCGTAAAAGACTAGGACTTTTGATTTATGACATAATAAAATCACGTATTCATCACGTTTTTTTTTAAAGATAAATTACGATTTTCTTCCATTTTTCGTAAGTTTTGCAATACTTGTCTAACAGTCTCCACCGAATTTTAATTTTATTTCTTTGTGTGCTACTTTAAAGTAAACTTCAATAGCTTTCAATAGTGGCATTTCAACAATACTCTGCACTTATATTTATGAAACTATTTTTATGTGATGTGATTAATAAAACTTTTATATTAATAAATATAAATGATGCGCACTAAGTTTTCAAGTCGGGATTCATTCAGGTCGTAGCTTTCAACCAACGGGCATGAACTGTAATATTTTATGCTGTTGTTTTTTATGCACACTTTCAACTCGAATTGAAAAAAATACAGTGATTCGAATGAATTTGGTAAAAAGCAATAGTATATTTCAATAAAAATCGGAATATGTTTTGGAAATTATCTGGCGGTTTTTTAAAGTTATAATAGAAGTTTTTTCATCATTTTTCATAAATTTTGATGTATTATTAATATACAATTGATGTTATATATGAATAAAGTGTTACGGTAACACATAACTCAGCCATAGACTAGTGGTTAGCGTGCCAGGTTTGTGAGCGTGAGGACACGAGTTCGATTCTCGGTCAAATTTGGTCCGGTATTTTTCCATCGTGATTCGCTCAGGAATTATCAATGGTTTAATGCGGAATAGATTTGGTCGGGTTTCGGGCTAGTGGAGTGCTTCGGAGGGCACTTAAAGCCGTCGGTCCCGTGTGTGTGCACAACGAATAATGGGTTCAGCATAGACACACGTAAAATGTAGTGCCTTTACGTTAGGTTGATGTCTTGAATATGTCAAATATCCAATACGTCAACCGTAAAAAGGTAGTGCTGAACTACTGGTGAATATACCGGTAAATCAGTAGTGGTGGCATTCCTACATTGAATAGAGGAACCCAGCGCCATCTGGAGCATGGTAGAGTTATGAGTGTTCACGACAACTGCAGTGCTCATCGGTGGTGGATGTCTTTGCTTAATTGGGTTTTAGGAATTCACACCATTGTTGGTAGAAAGTCTTTGCTCGTTTGAGTTTTAAGAATTCACACTATTGGTGGTAGAAGGTCTTTGCTCAATTGAGCATTAAGCAAAGAAATCACACCAGAGCCCCCTGTAGTCGAGTGGCATCATAACTTAACGGGCGTCTTGCAATAGGTTAATAAACCTGAGCAACGAGAAACTATGGATATTACTGGAAAGTAGACCTAGTATGCTCCCCGTCCAAATCCAAGAATCCAAGAATCCAACACATATGAATCATATAAGTACATTAGGGCGGAACTATTTTTAAAATTTAGTGTCATATCTCGATGGCCATATGGGAGAACATGTCTTAAGACCTAATAACATAATTATGATCTCCAGATTCAAAAATTGAAAAAAAAATTTGCAACTTTCTATTTGATTTAAGACAGTCACTTGAAAAACAAAGGGGTCCATTTTACGGGAAAATCATAAAAAATTGCAATAAATTGATCACCGAGAAAACGTGTGAATCCCATTTTCTGACCAAATACAATAAGTTCAAATGGAAAGTCGAAAACTCTTTCATATCTTGAATCTGGAAACCATAAGACATGTTTTTTCAAGTGGCTGCAAAATTATGCAGAAAATGTTCCAACCTAAAGTCTTCATCTTATTAGAATCATTGCGGAGAAAAAGTAGCTCTTATTTTTCTCCAAATAATACTGCAACATGAAGTTTTTTTCACACGGTTTATTTGTTGTAATACAACAAATAAATTATTCATAAAAAACTTTATGTTGCAGTATTATTTGGAGAAAAAAAAAGTTTTCTCCGCAACGATTCATTTTATGTTTGAGTGTGAGTTTCCAATAGCCTTCAAAGTTTATATCTGATTTAACGTTCCTTTGGAAATGATGGGTAATAAACCACCATTATGTAATATGAGTTGGAAATATTGAAGAAAAAAAAATAGTGAAAATACAATGAAAACATTGGTATAGTTAAATTTTGATTTACAAATCATTATGGATGCATCTCTTTTTTTGGTTTATTGTATAAAAAAATGACATCTTCTACCGCTACAACTCATGTCATGTTTCAACATGATACCTGAATTGCATTTACATATTTCATATCTTTGCATCATATTATACGAAACTGTAGATAAGTATTTTTCCAGTTTTTATGAATTCTTTTTTTTAAATCAATAAAATTTTATTTTATGAATATCAGTATTGTGCGGAGGGGGGGGGGGTAGAGATCCTGTGATTTGGATGAGAATTTATTTTTCGTGAAATTTATTCGAAATTGCTAGGGTTTTTGATTCAAAAAGTGAAGACCTTTTTTTTTTTTTAGCTCATCAATGTAGAAAATTGAGGAAAATTCTTTCAATTTGCTAGGGTTTTTGGCTCCGAGAGATTTTTTTCCGATTTGCTAAGGTTTTTCGCGAAGAAAATTCTTTCGATTTGCTAGGGATTTTCGCCTCAAAAAGTGACTTCCAAAAAAAAAAAAAAAATGAAAATTTGTCTAATTTGCTAGAGAATTTTTTGTTTTTGGAAAATCACCCCCCCCTGAAAAATTTTCCTCGCACACTACTGGAATATATATATACATACAATAATGATAATAAGGACTTTGAACGAAATTAAACTTAAGTTTTTGTCATTTCAATTCGTTTTTATGAATAAAATCTTTATAAAATATAATTATATGCAATTTCGATATATCGAAATATTCAAAAATAAAATAAAAATTACAAAAACTTCACAAATACATACTTTCTTGCTCCTAAATAATATGCAATAAGATTATTCATTGAGCATAAAAATTCCGTTTTAGTGCTTCTAAATACTTTTGATTTTCCGAAGAAAAATCTACTTATCTTTATAATAACGATATCTAGATGATTTGACTAGATTGTGAATTAATTGACTTTTATTAATTATATAAAGTTTCTGAATTTTAGGTGGAAAGTGGGAACCTAACTGATGAGAAAATGGAATTGTTGAGTTTTTCAATGAATGATATTATTTTTGGATTCACCAACTACTTGACCTTGTGGGATGTTTTTTTTCCAAATATTCATTTCTTAGACTGAAATATATTTTTTTTGTGGAGTTCTATTAAATTTTATTGGTGAATCAATAGTTAAGTTCCACCATACTCTGTTTAAAATCCTACAATCAATTATCAGGTAAAATTATCTAACGATATATTATTATTGAGTTCGAATATTAAATTTTCTAAATGAAAACTTTTTTTTTGCTCCATTTTTACAAACTGGACGTTGTAATGAAGAAGAAACTTCATTCCGCATTTTTTCAATGATGGTTTAGATTTATGATTAAATTATTATTTTATTATTCAAAATTTCATTAATGTCCATTTTTTCAACATACTTCCACAATAAAAAACTTGCTTCTAAATTAATGGCGAAAAAAAAAAACATATTTGAGTGTCTTTTACGCTTTTTCTGGTAACGTATTTTTACAAATAAAAAAAATGTCGCAATTTTGCTCGAATGAGCTTTTGGTTAAGCACAGACAATCATCATTTAAACTGATATCAGTAATTAGCGATTACTTAGAAAAAATTTTGTTATAGCAATTTAGTAAAATGTAAAATATATTTTACATTCAATTAGTTACAAACGTTCTTTGTTTGAGTGAGAATTATATTATGGTAAACCATATCATTATTTGAAGTTACGAATACGATATATATATAGTTAATTGTAGTAATAACTAATATTAAAATAAGTATAAATTAAGATTAAAATGAATCAATTTGAATGATATTATACAATTTGAAATATAACGACGTTTTTGAAAAAAAAAATTGCTTCAGTTTTTGCGTTAGTTCATTTGTGGGAACGATGTTTTGGAATTCCGTCGCCCCCACAAGAGCAGTTCTACCCTGTAATTATCAATATGAATAAATAAATGGTAAAACGTCTGTCTTTTCAAAAGTGTATAAGATTTATATTACCTGTATAGTCCGTACAATTTCCAAGATTTACGTTCAATGGCCTTCCAGTTGTATGTATAGTACGGGTTGAATGCGTGTTGTCCCTAGATGATCTTCTTGGATTCAGAATTGTGGAATTTGAAGATTGATTATGAGACTTGGCTTTATTGCTTTCAACATAATAACGATAATCATTTCCTCGACTATGAATATCAACATTGTTTGTTCCTCGTGATGTATGCATTTTTGAACTTGGCAACGTTGAGTGAATTGGTTGTCGAAATTTCGATTGTTTATTTTGATCATCGCCACATTCACTTGAATCATAACTTTGAGATATAATTTGTCGATTACTTTCGGAGTCCATTTGATAGCTCTTTAATTCACGTACGGAATATTCGTAACCGAATGTACTATATGTGGGATGTGGAAAATTTCCACTTTTTCTATCTCGATCATCCGACAGATGTTTTATAGTCTTTTGCGAACCAGTTTTTGTCCCAGTGTGAAATTGGGGATGCTTCAAATTATTTTGTTTCAAACTTGGTCTACTAAAATGTGGATCTTTATTTCGATTTTTTGGAGGAAGCATTGGTGGTTGGTCACTGATTTGATTTGGTGAATTATTTGATTTAATTATAGATGGCATTGAGCGTTTTGCCTGAATTGATCTATCATATATATTGTGCGAATTTTTTGAAGTAAAACTATTCACCTCTACGTTACATACCGACTTTATTGAACGATACTTGTTTAGATTGGAGGCGGATAAAAGTTGTTGATTTCGATGATTTTGGCTTATTTTTGGTGGTATTTCCGGTAATGGTTGACTTATGATAGACATTTTTTCCGGTGCCGAAATTAATTTAATATGCGATTGTTTGATGGGAAGATTCGGTTGCTCTTGAACATGTTTTACTGGTATAGATGGATTACTAATTTGTTGGACTTTCGTCAATTGTAATGGTTTTGTAATCGTCGGATATGGAGGTGGTTCATTTGTTATGCTATATACAGATCGAGAATTTTTTTGATTATCAATTGCGATACAGTTACCAGCTGTCGATCCGTTTTCGAATTTGGAATGTTTGAAAGTAGATCCTTTGCATGGAAACGTTGTTCCGTTGTCAGTTTCATATCCAGAAACAAAACAACTACCCGCTTTAGTTACAGACGTATTGGAACCATCATAAATAGTTTTAATAATATCGTTGTTACTGTTATGGTTCAGTGTACTAGCGTTGACTATTCTCGATGAATTTTGATGTTGTGCATTATATTCTTTGGAAACTGTAGTAACGCTTGGGGGGGGATGCTTTTTTCAAGACTGGATTCATTCCTCGCTCGGTTAGACTTCCGCCATATCGACCACCATGTCGTAAAGTGGCGCACTTGTTCAAATTCGTTGATGTTAGTAATGAATCTCGTAGGGATTTTGGCCCTATACTGATATATTTGGGATCGAATCTATTAAAACCATTAAGAGGAATTTCTCGAGAATCTGAATCACAACGGTCGATTGAATTATTTGATAGACTTGATTTTGCTTTTGTTAATGTACCTGATGGAAAAAAATACTCAAGAATGAAAATATTGCACATAAAATCAGTGTTTGTCATTTGGCTTGCTACAAGCAGCTTGCTTGCCTGCGTCGCCTATCGTACGGCAAACAAACAAACATGCGGACACATATACGGCAAACGAACCATATGTATTACACGGTTTTCGTTCGTTCAAGATGCGGTACACAGTTCCGCGAACACGTTGTATCGTGTGTATCTGTGTAGATGTATTGGTCGCACGAACGAAAACCGTATAATACCTATGGTTCGTTTGCCGTATATGTGTCCGCATGTTTGCTTGTTTGCCGCATGATAGGCGACGCAGGCAAGCAAGCTGCTTGAAGCAAACCAAATGACAAACACTGCAAAAAATGGATATGAAATTATATTATAACTTGTTGAAAATAAAGTGACAGTATTATGCTGATAATCCAATCGTAATTCAAAAAATACTCACTTCACTTTATATATGTATGATATTATTTGAGTTAACGTACCGTATTTTTTTGTTGTTTTGTTTGTTGTGCTGCCTGCGATGGAGCAGGCAGATGATTCTCAGTAAAAGTCGTTGGATTCAAGTGTTTTACATTGCTTACTTAAAGTAGCATATTTTCCGTTATTTGGTCCAGCGGCATAGTTACTATTGTGATGTGAAGGTAAGCGACCAAGAGTTTGATGTCCATTTGAAATTCTATTTAGATGATATAAACACTTTTATTGATTTAAAAAATAATTTTTCTCATTGTCGATTATAACTTTGCTTGAGACCTAATAATTTTAAACTTGGGAAACTGTATGATTATTTTTAACGCACATCTCGTTAACATTTAATGCATTTATAATGGATTTAATATTAACCCTCTAGTGCATAGCTCTACCTTTAGGCGGAGTGTATGAATTATTGTAGGTTTTTTACACATGAACTAAAACACATCCAGAAAGGATCAGCCTTTCATTTTATATCCATTAGACAATTGATTTTTGGGTAGATATATATTTGTAGGCTCGACAGTGCGAAACATCGCATGTCGTGAAAAAATTAATTCATATGTGAAAATTTTAATGGCCAAACTCGTGTACCCCGCCTAAAGGCAGAGCTATACAAATCGATCAAATTTCAATGTGGCGTATAACAATGGAACCATTGTTTACGACAATAAAAATAAAAAATATGGAATGCGACAGTTGTAGAAACATCTTTCAAATTTCAAGAATAACAAAAAAATAAGCTGAAAGAATGTAAACATCATGAAAAAAAATGTGTTTCGTGTAGCATTACAACGATTCGTGTACATAGTTACTGTAAGATGACTATGGTATAGTGGATTAGTGCATGCGCTAAGAGTCGTATGGTCCGAATCTAAACAAAACATATTGTCAATGCATAGCTCTGCCTTTAGGTGGGGTTGAGTTTTTTGCACTTTTTTTCGAACCACGCATTTTTTTGGGTTAAAATTATTTTCCCAATCTTTGTTACAACTAAATCAACCAGAAAAAAAATTCCCAGCTCTAGAAAAAGTTAATGCACTAGAGGGTTAAAAGAAATTAATATAGAAAATTTATGGTTGCGCCATTTGAACAGTACAGATAATACCTTGAAAACTTTTCATACTGTCCACCACGTTTGAATTTATTATAGTCAGTACTGTGCGAGCTCAGATTCTCAGAAGATTATAGCAAAAAATACCTCAGTTTTCACTTCGAATGTTTAAGGTTTCTAGTTTTTTTAAATGAGGTAAACTACCACCCATTCCTCCCCTCATTCTCTACACACTACTGAATATAATATTATCAATTTAGATTCTGCGTTGTTAAGAAGTTATTTTTTAACAACAATATGCTATACCATCCCAAGCAACCAATTTGTAACGTTTTTCATCCATTTAAACGTTAAAAATGTAATGATCTCATTTATTTTCATATTAATCTAATTTGATTTTTTTTCACTTTTTTTCATTCCATTGTTACGTTGAATATTACTGAAACTACACACAAATCTGACCAGAATTTTGACCGTGAGCATATGCCTGTAATGGATTATTTTGCGCCAACAATTGTTCCTTGGGATGATGAACTTCGTTGAGTACTTAAAAATACGTGAATCTTACTCAGAATGACAAAAAAAAAAAATCGACAAAAAATCGGAAAAATAAAATAAATTGAAAGCAATAAAAATAAATGGAATGTATCGAAATCGGTAAAACTGATATTACATAATTCAAACTCAATGGTTATAAAACCGTTTCTCTTCTGATTACTTGTCAACCAATCGTTAATGAAGGTATGCTAATATAAAACAAGCATAGCTCTCATACAAAATATTTTTTACAAATTGCAATTCAAAATTGAAAATATAGAACGGATCAAATGAAAGATGGTGGTGAACAGAAACCACTAATATTTTCCCCATTTATATAATCTAATTCAATACCTTTTTTTCTCTCCTTCATACCTCCTTGGGTAATAATTTAGGTTTTTTTTTATATTTTCCCAATTATACAAAATAATTCATTCTAATTATATTATTGACGAGACTAATTCTACAATAGCATTTAGATAAGAGGCTTCAAATTAAACGAAATTGATTATTGACAAAAGTCAAAAAGTGATCGTAAGGACAAAAGTCAAAAAGTGACTTTTGGAGGCGGCCAAATCGAGAAGTGCCTTAACAAAAAAGTCTTAGTTTTTTATGTACTTTGATCAAACAGACATTTTGATTTTTCATCGAGATTCATGAGACATTTTAAAAATGCTGAATTTTTCGAAAGGATTGATCGATTTGGACGGTTAGGGGGTCGTTGGAAAGGTATTGAGCTCTTGACTCTGAATATGGATGTTTCAGAGGTCAATGACTTCATTTAATGCCATCTATGGCCGTAGAACAGAATTTTGATCCTTTTATTGAAAGGACCATATTTTGAAGACAGGTGGACCGATTTCACTGTGCGTCATTTTTTAACTTTAAAAATGTGATGGAGACGAGACCCATCACTTTTACATAGGTTGGGTATGCTGGTTTCAATGGCATCACCCGTTTTTCTCTAACAAGTCAGGATTTTCCACAATTTTCCTAGAGAGTTTTCCGGAAAACCAAAATTGGCTGTTTATACTCTAGTAACATTTTAATCAGTTTGGCGCCTCCAGTTCTGACTATGGCCGGCACATATCAAATCCAAATAATGTGAAAATGATCCTATCTTGTAGAGAAGGATTCAGGAAACACGATATAATTGAAAAAATCAATATCAATTTGAGCTCAATCTCGAAAAATCGCGTCAAATGTAAAATGGCCGAGTTGGCGCCTAAACTTTTGGCCTTGGCCTTTCATACAAAAAAAAATTTCATTTGGAAAATTTGAGCAAAAAATGGGTATAACTTTATGTTGATGGCTCTGGCCGGCCCGAACCAAAATGAAATGTTCTGAAAACTATTCAATCTTGTAGAGACGGACTCCAGGAACACGATATGAGCAAAAAAAAAATCGGGTTCCATGTCACAATTTTGAAAAAAATTAAGAAGAATAATACAATGTTCATGACCCCTCCCCCTCCCCCCTTGCATTTTGATCGACCTGCAAATCGGACTATCTTGTGGAGGGAGACCCCTAGAATACAGTGCAACCATAAAACGATAATTATTCGAATTTAGGTTTGACTTTAATTTGATCGATTTGGAAACATACTCATTTTTGAGGAAAATCGACCCCCTGGGAAAAAATTCAAAAATCCGGCTGAGCCAAAATTCTTAGTTTTTCACCCTCAAAATATCCCGTAAAAGAGTTTTTCGATATTTGCACTCCTTAAAAGTGACCCACTTATGTGGGACACCATGTATATAGCGAGATCGACCTTTCAACACACTAATGTGGTTTCGCCACTCGCGTCCGCTGTGATAGACGGCAAGTTCACAAGTGGACACAAACGATTTGAAGAATATTTGCAACCATCAATGTTTACTAGATCGAGTATAGAACTGCACATAGGAACATATTCGATGTGTATGGATCACAAATTATGTTTCAAAATGTCATCACCAATGTCGACACCATCTGACATCAAAATTTTGACATTAAAAATACGTGTTGTGGTTGTTGTCGTTTCATTGCTGTGATAAATATAAAAAAACAATTAACGGCAGACGTTTAACCGACCTCAATTACCGTGTTAAATGGTGTTAGACCATGATGGACCATGATGGCCGACCTCAATAACCGTGTTAAATGGTGTCAGACCACGATGAACCATGATTGGTCAAAAGATAAAGAATAGCTTGAAAATGGGTAAATAAACGTGTGGAATTATAGCAGACTATAATGGCCAACATCAAAGATACCACCCCCCTAATTTTGGGTGGAGGATTTCAAATTTGATCAGAAAATTGACAAATTTTGACATCCCCCATACAAACTTTTCAACAAAAAAAAATTGGTCCAAACCATCCTATAAAATCAGATTTCAAAAAACTATCACGAGAACAAAGATAATGGGTGAACAAAAACGGTGACGTACGACGTGGAACAACCTGATCTCAAGACGAATATCGCTCAAAAACAATACCACCCTCTTCCTCGCAACCCCCAAGCACCTTGTAGATTCATATTTGCATTTGCTTTTCTTGCAGAAGAGGTATACTGCTAACAATTTTTTTTGCGTACAGCATATAGTGTACAGTGTACCACATACCCACATTAACATAACCAAAAATAAATAACCAAAAGACCGTTGCTCTGTGATTTCCTTTACCCAAAACGCAATGAAATTTTTTTAGCGATTTAAAAAGTTTGGGGAGTGATTGCAATACTTTACTGCACACCACTGTGCGCGGAAAAATAAAAATAGACGATGATTAAAAAAAAATTGGTTGGGCTGCGACTTTATGAGCATAAGTTGAATTTTTTGTAGTGTGTTATCATTGAAAGAAAATAAACATAAAAATAATAAAAATCATGCCTGGTGTCATGCACCAAATTATATTCTGGTGGTGGTGATTCAATTTTACTACTAATTGCCAACCCTCTCAATGTTCCAGAAGTTTTTCGTGCTGTTCCATTTACTCCATGACTTTGTTGATGATGCAAAAGAGTTCTATTCACTTTTGAAGTACCACTTTGTTGATTGGCAGCTAAAGGAGATCCACTTGCAGCTGAATTCAAGAATGGCGTAGCTTCAGCTTTATCGGAATATTTTCTCCTGAAATAAATAAAATATATTTTTAATTCTAGATACTTCAGCAATTGAATTAGTGTAATTCACCTTTGACTTAAATAAATCCACGTATGAGAATCTACGCACACCTGATGTAAGACGTGTTACAAATTTATAATTACGATAAATATTCAATATTCACTCTTTTGGAAGAAATGTGTGCCAATCTAGTGAATAATATTTTTTTGTAATATGATTTTTTCATACCAGTAATGTAAGCAAAAATGCTGTAATCAAAGCAGCCACTGTCATCAAAGTCAAGCCAAGTAAAGCACCTATTCAAAAAAATGTAAAAACAAAAATTATGCTTGGTATTAAATGGTAAATTCATGCCGAAAAAAAATATTGTTTTATGTTAACAAATATCTTTTCGGAAAAGTGGTATAAGAATTGAATTTTAAATAGTACGAACAACCGGCTAAGCCTATGAAGAGACAAAATGCGAATTCCCCTCATCTGTGCCATCTTGTATTCCATAGTTGAACTCAATTTAGTTACAATGAATTGAATCGAAAAAGAGAAAAAAACAACAACAGTAACATGGCTACATAGATCTGTTGACCAGTGAGATACGAATAACACTGGAATGAAAGAATGAAGAAAGCGTATATGTGTATGTATGCATCAGTACGCATAGATGTACAGCTCTGTGTGGCCGTGCTATTGTTGTTGTTTTTTCTCTTTTTCATTTCAATGCTACAGAATTAAATTCAGTTTTTCGATCTAATTCGAACTAATGTGAGGTGGCGCTGATCAGCTGCGTTCGCATAAAAAAGTTCCCAATCTCATATACGCCAACCCCGCTTGAGTACGAATCGAAAATCAGTTTTCGTTTGCACTTTGGACAGTTTTTCGACAAATTGTTTCATAAAATTAAATAAAGAGGCTTACAAGCTGACTTTTCCTCATGAACCGAAATTTTGGGAATAAACTATGTATGGTTGCGGTAACTTTAATCACTGTGAAAACTTGTGAATCTTATTTTCTAATCGAAGTAAATAATCTTAGAAATTTCAATCAGAAATATAGGTTTTAAGATTTTTGGCTCATAAACGAAAATGTTGTATTTGAGGTAGGCCCCAAATTGCAAACTTTGTGGATCATTTTTGTGTGGATTTTTGTAATTTGAAAAGTCTATGAAAAATTTGTAGAAAAAAATCTATGGATGTATGGATGTGGGTACTTTATTCGGACCAAAAAATACACCGGTCAACAGATATTGCTAAAAAACTAATCAGCTCGTCTCTAAGCAGCCCCATATCATCCAGCAAAGTCAGAAGAACAATGTGTCAATTTTGAATATTTTTTCTGTGTTTTGGGGTGACTTTAATTTTTTGGCCTAATACAATAAGTTTCCTACACTAGGTGTAAGAAAAAGTAAAATATGGCACATAATTGTGAAAGAGGATTTTTTTGTTTTTTCTTAAAGATAACTATTTTGGGTGAAAATCCCTAGCAAATTGAAGGATTTTCCGCTCGGCGAAAAACTAAAGAAAATCGGAAGGACCCTAACAAATTCGAATAATTTTCGCTAATTTTTTTTCCTGATTTCAGGGGGTAACGTTTTCTAATTTGTTTCGAGTCTTGGGCTCTAATATATCATAGCCCTATGAAGCTATACACATAAATACGAGAAACAATTAAATGATTGTTCACATTTTTATTTTGAGATTACCTTCACATAAACCTTTTATAGCACCTTCATAATATTGATGAACAGAATGATGATCTAGCATTTGTAGTAAGTCATGGAGTACATAACGGCTTTCTTTGAGTTCATTCAGTATTTGATCAGTAGTTGTAGATATTTCTGCTCGCGGATATAAATCTTTTGACATACGAACCACATCATCAAATGCAGTGCTGGCGTGTTCGATATTTTCTTTCGATTCATTCAAACGCATACGGAATCTCTCACGTAAACTTCCACAATTTAAGTAATAGACGTCGTTGGGATATTCCTGTAAATAAATAAAATGAATATTTTGGAAAAATGAAATTACTTGATATGGAATTTTTGAAAATTCATTGGAAATATATAACACCGGGACATAAAAGTTAAAATTTATTAAAAAATTGTCTTAAAAACATGTGCAAAACGTGTTCTTGGCGTGCATTCAATTTAAAAAATATTTGCTTGCATATTTTTTGAGAAAAATTTTGTACTAAAAACACGTTTTGTAAATTTTTTTAACAAATTATTTTTTTTGATTTACCCATTTTTTTTACAAAATAATCGTACATTGAAATCTCAAAATTGAATAAAAATAAAGAAAATGCTTTATATCAAAAATATGTGCAAAACATTTGCTTTCTATTGCATTTGAAATTATTTGATTTAATTGAGGTAATTTTTTTTTATGGCATACCAAAAATTTGGACGCATTTTGTGAAAATTCTGATTTTTTTTTTTCGAAAACGCTTTGCATTTAAAACATGTGCTTCACGAATTACATAGATTTTTTTTTATTTTTTCAATTTTTCAAAATGGAAAACACAATTTTTTTATTTGAATGTTATATGTCAAAATTATGTGCAAAACATGTGCATTGGTTGACATTTTTATTTTTGTTTATGTATCGCAATAAACGCCTAAATTTAGTGCCAAAACTTTCTAAACATACAGTCTGTCCCATAGTAGAGGCCGCTTGATTTAACCACAAAAAGTTTCAAATATCTTGAAAATATTTTTGGTGTCGCCAGATGGCACTCTAAGCTAATGCGCCAATTAACATTGACAGTTCTCAAATCACTACAGTGTTTGTTGTGCAACGAAAACATGGATTCGGAATATTTTCATAAGCGTTTTGAAGCGGTGTTTTTGCATTTACATCCAAAAGAACCAAGAATGTCAATCGCATCAATTGCTAAATACATTAAAAAGTCAAAACAGTTCGTCAAGCACTGGATTGACCATTATAACAGTGAAAGAAATGTGAACGATCAGCCCAATGTGAAGCCAAACCGAGCCTCCCCGCCAAAGCAAGATAAACGGATGGTTAAGTTGTTCGATGAAAATCCAGCTATGTCATTGAGCCAAGGTGTTGAACGGCTACGCCGTCTTAAAATAGACGTCTCGCGCTCCAAACACAAGAAAAGATTGGATGTCGCCGGTGTTCATTATCGCAGTACAGTGAAGAAATCACTTTTGACAGAAAACCAGAAGAAAAACACATTGACTGGGCAAGCAAAATTCAACAAGAGATTGGAGCGAAGTTATATACACTGACGAGTCATTCTTTTGGCTGGTGAATAGCACTACCCATGCCTAGAGCCGAAAAGAGAGTTGTCTTTCGCACTGTAAAGCATCCGAAAAAGGTCCATGTTTATGGTTGCTTCTGTGAAGCTGGTTTTGGATAGTTGACCGTATTCACGGGCATTGCAAACGCCGTGAGGATGAACCAACTTTTTGCATCGACACTGTTACCCACCGCCAAGAAGTTCTATGGCAACGGCAATTCGAATTGGCTTCTATTAGAAAATAATGATCCAAAACACAAAAGTCGTCTCTGCACTGCTTGGAAATAGGAAAATGGCATTCGACAGATGGACTGGCCGCCACAGTCACAAGATTGCAATCAGATCGAAAATGTTTGGGCCATTATTAAGGCAAGGCTTCGTGGTAAAACACACCGCAATTTGAAGCAGTTCAGTTCATTCATTCAACGCCAGTGGAAAGGTTTTCTATCTTCTATTCTATCGATTTCAGTATAACATTTATGATATTAAACCTATTGAATCTCACTTTTGGTTCTTCATAAAATGATCCATATTATATTGCGAGTTGAAAACATACATTCACCTCGGCCAGTATAGCAATGCGCAAATCAGGCCAGAACGCTTTCCAACAGCATTGATATTGTTTATATTTTCAAAATTGATCAAATTCAGTCATTGAAATAGGTTAAGAAGTGAATTATAGTTCGGATAAATCATGTTTCATATTCATATTTTTGCCCCACGTTCATTGCTCACAATTTGCTATGCAAATGACAGTTTTCCAGCTATACGATGCGTTCAAATGGATGTATAACAAAGTGGAATCACATTAGTTTTGTTCTGAAAGTATTCTAACTTCAAATGAGATTAATTTGTGGAGGTCTATTGTACTTTTGGTACAAAACCTTCATTTTTGGTGATGAAATTGGAATTTTTGGTCAAAAGTTTGAAAATTTTGCATCGAAATGTGTTTTATTTTCATTCAAATCGTTTGAAACTTCACCAGTGGCAAGTGTTTGATGGAAAATGACGATCACCATCAATTTTTAGTCGATATGGTTGTGCGAAGATATTTTTATATAAACCGAAAATGTTATTTTTCAATAGATTCACATAATGACCTACCGAGCTCTTGCGGCACCATCTAGCGTTGAGATGTCGGCATGAAACTTTACACACGTTATTTGCACACCATATGGAAAAGTATTCCGTGGTAAGAGCGAAAAAAATTCAACTTTTGTGTTTTGGGGGCCAGTCTAGTGAACACAACCCAATAGATTAAGTTTTAAATTGAAAATCTAACGATTCATTTCTTCATTTATGCACAAATAAAAAGATAAACAATTCATTAAAAACGCTGCAGAAGAACTCTTTTATATTTTTCTTTCTTTGTGGAATTTGTATTTTGAATTTTCGAAATGCAACTGAGTTTTTCTGACATATTTTGGATGACGTGCTCTGTATATGTCATACCAAACCAAGCGATATTTATTTAAATGTATTAAAAATGTGCTCGCATCGTGTGAACGTATCGTTAGGCAAGAAATACTGCATCGATCCGAATGAAAAAAACGTGATTGGCTATAACGCGTCGTAACATCCTCAAAACACCTAATGAACCGGCTGTTGAGGTGAGATATTTTGAAATCTATTTTGAAATGTGTTTGAATCGAAACGAATTATTTTTTTATCAATTTGAATTTTGAAGGAAAATATCACAATATCAAACACACGATTCTACTGCGAAACTCAGCAGAAACGAAGAGAAAAAGAGGCAGAAAAAATGAACTGACCACCGAATACAAACAATGTCAACTGACAAGTAGAAGCATTGAATTCATAAATGATGAGATAAAACAAATATCATAACGATTAGTTAGCTTAGCAAGACATGACACAAATTGTGTAACACAAATTTTGTGGCCTGGTTGTGGAAGGAGCCCGTAGGTTCGTAAAAATTTTAATTTAAAAAAATATATCACGGGGGACGGCAGTCCCCCAAGTGACGCAATACCAACATACATATACACATATTTATATGTGATATGTATTTTTGCGTCATTCTATATAAGTAAAAAACACTTCTTTGGAAGTTCTCACTGTGACGCAATACTGCACATCAAATCTGAAAATGATCTGATATAAATATTCAGTGATGCCTGCAATCAAATACACAAACAATTTTTATATTGCGTTGCCTCTTGGGCATTATAACAATGAATGAGAGATTTCGTACCCCGAAACACATCGAAAACATATTTTTGAGCGTTTAAGAATACATTAAATATCACTTTTGGAAGAAAAATTGAATTTTTCCCATGAGCATCACACCAGATATGACATTTCACTCTATCAACCAAAGTCGCTCAAAATCTATTGGTTTCTATTCCTCGGCACCCCCAATCATCCTGTGAAGTCAGATTTTGAATTACTTTTCTTGTTTGAAAGTTATCGTGTTAACAAATTTTTGCGCACAGCGTACAGTAGGGTGGTTCGATTTATGTGAAAATTCAGAAGGGATACTGGCTATAGTTATAAGTTATGGAAAAATATGTAAGATTTACGAATATGACGTTTTTTTGACATAATTTCATTTTTTCAAAAATTTTCAACATATTTTAAAAACATTTTTTCTGGTTCGTAACGCTGCTAATTAAGTGAAATAGACCGCCAAAGGCCATTAAAGTGCTCCCGGACTTACCTCTACCTGAAAATAGGTCCGAAAATGACTGAACATTTTTCAAAAAAATGACCCAAGAAAACAAAATTTTAACTCATTATTGAGGTGGTCTTATTTTTCTGAAATTGTCCAACTCACCCTGTAACCTCTTGAGGATGTCAAATAGAGATGATTCATTTCATCTGCAATATTGCATGTTTCCGAATCATTTGAAAGTCTGCATTTTTCAGGTTTTTTCAACAGATTTGTTTTTAAGATATAGGAACTTTTCTTTGGGTGTACATCGTCTTTTCCTTCTAGAATACATCTGTCATGTCCTAATCAGAATATTTCAGGACGAAAACATGGAATATTGTAGACAAAATTACTTTTTGGTGCACAGGCAAATTTCAAAAGATTGGTTATTTTCGACATTTGTTGTAAAAGTCTTGAGTAGGAGGGCATGTAGAATCGAAAGTATTGATCAAACATAACACACAGATAATCTCTATTCGACATTCTCAAAAGGTTACAGAGTGAGTCGGACAATTTCAGAAAAATCAAACCACCTCAATAATGAGTTAAAATTTTGTTTGGTTGGGTCATTTTTTTGAAAAATGTTCCGTCATGTTCGGAGCTATTTTCAGGTAGAGGTAAGTCCGGGAGCACTTTAATGGCCTTTGGCGCTCTATTTCACTTAATAAGCAGCTAGGGGTAGACACCTATGAATCCAGTGTGAATTATTTGATTTGAAATCTTTGATTCTTGCGATTTCGGTGATTTCTCGATTCCAAACCTCAATATTGGACATAAAATACACTTATATACAAAGCTAATTTCACTGTGGTAGTGTGCGCCTATAGTAGAAGTCGCACACATAGTGTGTGTGCGGTACAAAATACACAACATTTGACAGAAATCAAAGAAATCACAAAAATTGAATTCTGCGATTTCTGTGATTTTAATGATTTTTGTGATTTCTGTGAGTTTTGATTCCACGTGTCTACCCCCTAGATAAGCAGCGTTACGAACCAGAAAAAATGTTTTTAAAATGTGTTGAAATTTTTTGGTCAAAGTTCAAAAAATGGACCCCTGGAGGCGCTAGGTCTGTGACATCAATTATGTCAAAAAAACGTCATATTCGTAAATCTTACATATTTTTCCATAACTATAGCCAGTATCCCTTCTGAATTTTCACAAAAATCGAACCACCCTACTATTCATTGACATGATATTTTGGGGGTTTTATCAAAATGAATTAAAACATTGGTGCAATTGGTTTTGAATAGATTTGGTGACCATACATACTACAAATTCACCGTAGAAATTTCTCCCTTTGTTTAAAAATTTTACAAAAACAATTGAAAATGCAAAAAAAATTGTCGAGCGCAAACTGAAAACTCTAATTTAATGTAAAAACAAATGATATGAGTACAAAACACTTCTTTGCAAGTTCCCACGGTGACGCAATACTGCACATCTGAAAATGATCTGATTTACAATAAATTTTCAGAGACGCTTGTACAGTGTGTGCCAGAATAACTGTTGAGTTTATATTGGGTGTATGCATTAATTTCCGGACTCAGACATCAGATGTTACCACTTGCTTGTGCGTTGTAGTAGATCAATGACATATACGTCATTTGAAAGGCCTATTCAAATACTCTCAAAATCAGTCAAAAGTGTTTCATTTGTTTGTGCGAATCATATTTTTTTTTCAACCATGGAAAATTTTGAAAATTGGAGAAAGCGACAGCATTTGTGGGAAGTTTTGTTAAGCTACTTTTTTGCAAAGAAAACTGCAGCTGAAAGTCATCGTTTGCTTGGGGAATTGTATGGCAAACATACTCTATCACGTACACAATGTTCCGATTGGTTTCAACGCTTCAAAAGTGGTGATTTTGATGTGCAAGACAAAGAACGCTCAGGTCAGCCAAAAAAGTTTGAAGATGCGGAGTTGCAAGCATTACTCGATGAAAATGCATGTCAAACGCAAAAAGAACTTGCATTGGAATTAAATACCGACCAAGCAAACATTTGCAGACGTTTGCATGCAATCGGAAAGATTCGAAAGTTAGGAAAATGGGTACCACATCAACTGACTGAAAATCAACTCAAAGCACGAATCACAGCATGCATAGAACATCTCAAAGAACACAAAAAACATAGTTTTACTTTTCCGCAGACATAGTGTAAGGTGAAAAGTATTGTAATCGGTCAAAATTTTGAAAACCTCAGAAACATGTTTTCTGGACGTTTCTGAGATCAGAGAACCCGAATCAGGCCGTTTTGAGCATGGTTTTTGTTAATCTGTACGTCGTACGTTGTACGTCGTACGCAAAATTTGTTAGCAAGATTGCGCTCATCTTAGAATCTTATTTCAAAATCTGACTTTACAGGATGATTGGGGGTCGCGAGGAATAGAAATCATTAGATTTTGAGCGACTTTGGTTGATGGAAAAAAAATTCATGCCTGGAGTGATACCTATGAAAAAGAGTCCAAAAGTCATACTTAATGTAGACTTAAACACTCAAAAATATGTATTGGGGGATTTTTTGGCACGAGAAAACCGAATCCGAGGTTGGTTTTGAGATACAATCAATTTTTGTTACAATTTCCTTGAAAAAATCACAAAAAAATTGAATGCTACCTTAATGACGTGAAACTTTGCACAGACTATTTTTTACACAAAAAAATAACATTCTGAAACTTTAAAGAGATTTCAATTAAAATTAGGGGTACCTCCCGAACAAAATTTTGGATTTTTCGCTCAAATTTTGGTTGCAATTTTGTGAAAAAAATAACCTGTGCAAAGTTTAACGCCATTAGGTAAAATACAGACATGGCTCCCATACAGAAATCCAAATTTTTTGTGACTTTAGTTATGAAAAGTGTTTCAAAAATAATTTTTATGGAAAAATTAACGTCAGACATATTTTTTAAAGTGTTTTGTTAGAAAATAGAATACTTTCAAATGTCGTACAAATGGGTTCATCATGAAAATGTGAAAAATCTTTTCTCGGGTACTTCTGCTATTAAATTAAAGAATATTTCGTTGCCAAAGTTGGAACATATTTTTTGGTCTCGAACTTTACGCCGCTTGAATGGCTTGAAAAATCGAACAAATGTTATTTTGAACTTTCTTAATAAAATACGCAACTACCACCGTGCGGAAAAGTTCGTCTTACTCCTGTAAGACTCTTTATTTTGAGTCGAATTGTCACGGGCGATGAAAAGTGGGTCTATTACGACAACTCCAAACGTAAAGGAGCGTATGTTGATCCAGGCCAACCAGGACCATCGCAGTCAAAACGAGACATTCATTGCAAGAAGGTCATGCTGTGCATTTGGTGGGATCAAAAAGGTGTCGTGTATTATGAGCTGCTAAAACCAGTTGAAACGGTTACAGCCCAACGCTACCGCATGCAATTAATCAAAATGGAGCATGCATTGAAGATTAAACGGCCACGGATAGCGTCTAAACAAGACAAAGTTGTGTTTCACGATGATAATGCCAGGCCCAACTTCGGTTGGGATCGGCTTGATCAACCCGCGTACTCTCCAGACCATGCTCCTTCTGACTACCACTTGTTTCGATCGATGCAAATGGGTTTGTCCGAGATATCGTTTCGAAATCCTGAAGGAGTGCGAAAATGTACGAGGGTTGCTCCATAATTTTTTTTAAAAACATATATAACACAGTTGTTTTTTGTCGAAAATGGTTTTATTGTTTTTCAAAATATTCCCCGAGATGATCGATACACTTTTGCATTCGATGAAACCATTTGTCATAGCATTCGTGCCACTCCGAAACTGATATCTCCAAAACGTGTGTTTTGAACGCTTCAACTGCTTCTTCTGGTGTCGAAAATCGTTGACCACGTAGTTTTTTCTTCACGCTTGGGAACAAAAAAAAGTCATTGGGTGCCAGGTCAGGACTGTACGGTGGATGACCCATCAGTTCGATGTTTTGACCGGTCAAAAATCGAGTAGTTTGAAAAGATGTGTGAGAGCTCGCATTATCGTGATGAAGAATTATTTTGCGACGGTGGTTGTTTTTTCTTATTTCACCAAACACTTCGGGCAAACAAATGGTGGTATACCAATCAGAATTGACGGTCTTACGATCCTCTAGTGGAACGGTTGCCACATGACCACTTCTCCCGAAAAAACAGGCGACCATTCGCTTCGAAGTGCTTCTTGCTCGAACAACTTTCGTTGGGTTATCTTCATTTTGGAAGACCCATACAGTCGACTGCTGTTTCGTTTCGGGCTCATAGGCATATATCCACGATTCGTCACCAGTGACGATTTTATTAACGTCTTTTGAAGCACCACGATTGAATTTCTTGAGCATTTCTTTACACCAACTCACACGAGCCATTTTTTGTTCATCGGTCAATTTATGTGGGATCCAACGAGAGCAAATATTTTTTACGGCTAAATGTTCATGCAAAATTGTATGTATGCTGTGGGATGAAATGCCCAAAGATGCCTCAATCTCACGGTAGGTCACATGACGATCTTCCATAATCAGTTTTCTGACAGCATCGATGTTTTGTGGCACAACAGCCGATTTTGGACGACCTGTATGAAACTCGTCTTTGAGCGAACTACGACCGCAACGGAATTCTCGGTACCAGTTATAAATTGTCTGAAGGGTTGGTGCTTCATTGCCAAAGGCCAAATGAAGTCGATCGAAACACTGTTGTTGAGATAATTTACTTCGAAAATCGTAGTAAATCATTTTACGAAAATCTTCACGTGTAAAATTCATTTTTTTGTTGAGTCGCAGTTTACCAGTCACTGTAAACAATACAAATAGCGTTCGTACGACAAAAGGTTCAGGGCACGAATACATACCAAAACATCAAACTTTACGAATATGACAATGGTTTACATCGGGCAACACTATAAGTACCATTTTAAAAAAAATTATGGAGCAACCTACGTATCGATAAATGGATAGCCTCAAAAGATGAGGAATTCTTTCGACGCGGAATCGACAAGCTACCAAGAAGATGGGCGGAAGTCATAGCTAACGATGGGCAATACATTGGTCAATGTACTCATTCTTATTGTTATTAAATAAAGTTTGTTTTTCACCAAAAAATCCGGAAATTAATGCATACACCCAATATGTTCGGGCATATTTTTGTGGAAAAATGATAGTTCAATGAAATTAATATGTTCTTATAAGGAGATATTAAGATGTTCCCGACCATTTAAAATAGTATTTGGATAATGTTTTTTATTCAACGACTGATTTTTGAGCCTTTTTCTGGGAAAATAAAGAAAAATAAGATTAGGTAAAATATGAGCCTGGCGTAGCCAACATAAAGACATTGTGGTTCTGCTTGTCAGTTATTTTACTTCCTTAGGCATCAAGAGTTTATGATATAAAAGGAAAACTATTTTTGTTTCGAGACTTGGTCACGACTGGGCCATATAGTCGACCAAAGCAACTTTCGTACTGCTCCCGATTTTTTTCTGACACAAATAACAAAAAATTTGGGGAATCAAGTCTGACTAATTAATTACAAATATATAGACTCCCGCTACACAACGCAAAAACATTCTCAATTTGGTTGAAAAATTTGCTTTTTTCTCCTAAAGTAGACCCGATAGTTATTCAGGCACACCCTGTAATCAAATACATCAAAAATTATAATATTGCGTTGCCTCTCACACAAAAAAATTGAAATACATAAGACAGTCAAGGTGATGCTTTTTATATATATTTCTTATGCATTTCATGTTTTTGTGGGAGAGGCAACGCAACATTATAATTTTTGATGCATTTGATTAAAAGCGTCACTGAAAATTTATATCAGATCATTTTCAGATGTGCAGTATTGCGTCATCGTGGGAACTCCCAAAGAAGTGTTTTATACTTATTACATTTACAATTCAATACTAATAATTGTCGTTCTTCTTTTCCATGTATTCACAACCAAATTCACTCAAAATTCGAAAAACAACATTGGATTCACCCCAAACCTTTTGTCCTGACGAAGGGTCTACTTACACTCGCAAATTTGTTACATAAATGTGATGTTGGTTGCATACAAAAGTCTCCCAATGCTACGGAACTGGCCAAATAAATTCCAGACAGAAGCCAACATATAATGATTCCAAAGAGTCCAACAACGCTAAAAAAAATTAAGTTACATCGCGAATTTCTTGCAACGCCAATTACTAAAATAACACAAAGAAGTATGAGACAAGCCAAAAATCCAAGCGTAGCAGGATACCGAATAATTTCAAAAATCTCTGAAGGCTGTTTGGAAAACAGAGATTAGATATGGTTATTAGTCTTTCAATCTTAATATCTTTATTTTTCAATATACTTACTCCCAATACTTGTTTTAAAGAATGGTGTTGTGGCGTTCTTATCAAATATAAAATTGTTTCTAATGAACTCACTGCACGTGTTGTATTTTCTCTCACCAATATAACATTGTCAAGAAGGATTTTCAGTGCTGTCTGATTGAATGTTGGACGTTCAAATACATCTTCTAAATCATACATCAAAACTTTACTGCGAATATCATGCTTCAATTTTTCAGTCTACAAATAAATGTAAATAAGATATTATTTCTTTTCAAATTCAGTAAAGCACGTTAATTAAAACGGATTTTTTTTTTTCATTTTAAGCGAATTAAGAAAAAATGAATCTATAATAAATTCTCATATGATTGTAATCTTTTACCTTATTTGTAAAATTCGATACTAATCCATCAATCTGGCGAGCTGAATAAAGTGTTTGCGAAAAACCGTTGTGGAAGTCATCATTTCCATAAAGACCTGTTTGTTTGAATAAATAAAAATAATACTCAATTAAGAATGATATATTTTTTCATAATTTAATTGAAAATATATAAAACACAAAATATGGATACATTACCCAAACCAATCGCAGCACAGCAAAATAAGGTGGTTGATATTAGCGTAAATTTCTGGCATGCTTGAGATTGAAGCTTGCTTGTTGTGTGGTCACAACATCGCGTTAGCAAATATAATAAAAGTCCAATCAACGAAATCAATAGCAGTCCTGCAGGTATTGACGCTAAGATTCCCAAGCTCTGAAAATATATATGTATAAATATCCGCTTTTGAATTGTTTTATTTATTGAATAAGTTTTTCACTTGAATAATAGTTTTTACACTGAACGTTAAATTTTATTTTATTTTAGTATGAGATGGCTTCAATTTTAAAACCAAACTTTAGTTTTTTTTCTAATAAAATAATTTATATATACACATACTTCTTTGTAGATTATACTTTTCGGATCAAAGGTACTGTTTACGCGATTCAGAGTAACATTTATGTGTGGAACTGAATGAACTAAACGAACTAATATGCTTGGTTGATTGTCTATAATCATTTTTGTTATTTATTTTTTTAATGTTTTATCTCAGAAAAGTCAATTTTTGAATTGTATAATTTCCGTATTATTCAACTTGAGTATTATTCACAAAAGATAATTCATTCTAAACATTCTCAATTACATAATTTTTGAGGAATTACGCCCGAAATGGAATTATTAATGAAATGAAAGAATAGTTTTTACAATTTTCTAATACATAGCTGATATTTCTATATTTTTATATCTTTTCAAGTGTGCTTAGTTGTCAGTCAATATCCGATAAAAACGAATAAACAATGAATTGTATTAATTTTCAATTTTCAATTTTCAATTTTACAACACCGTCATATTTTGTTTTATCTTGAAAACAACTTCTGTATATAGACTTCAGAAACAAAAAAAAATCCAACATAGCCCTGCGGTGTATTGGCAGAACTGCAATAAAAAGTTCATGTATGTATAGGTTGTCCAAAACAACAAACACACCCCACTGTTTGGTGCTGTTTGGTAACGTTATTTACGTTTAATGATTTATATATAGAGTATGAATCGTGAATTATTTATGATTTTACTTGTTCTTTTTCTTAAATTTCACATGTATTATTATTGAGACAAATGTAAAATATGTATATATGTTTGTTCACATATATATATAATATATATATATATATATATATATATATATATATATAATATTTGTCTATAGATGTCGTAACTGTCGTAAAAATTAAATCTAGTATTGATTTCATAGTTTGAATTTTATTAGTTTTAAATTTATTCAACGTAAAATACATCCCATATTGTCTACAAACAAGAATTCAAACGATATGATGCAAAATGATTTGATGAGTTATTATTTTATTTCTTTTCCATGACAAGAATTCTATTTATGAAATTTGCATCAAATAATTTCGATTAGCAGTTGAAATATTTTTAATGGAATAAGCTAAAAAAGACACAATTTTACATCAATTTCACCAGACAGTTGTGGTTTGGATTTTGTCATCTGGATATTTCAGCTCATCTGGATAACGTTAAGCGATGAAATGGAGTAAAACAATAGAAGTGATTGTTGTATTTTTGAGGTATAACAATCACTTCTATTGTTTTCATTTCGTATCATCACCCAACGTTATCCAGATGAGCTGAAATATTCAGAGTTCTGAATTTCACTAATAAATTTTAACATGCAGGTTGATCCGCTGTGAACGGTGTGATTCCATGTCGGACCATTGCTTGTAAAATATCACTAACATAAGATGCAACGTCAGTGTAACTCCGTTCTCCACGTTCAATAAATGGATGCTGTAGTAGTTTGCTGTATTTTGGACGATTGGTTTCTTCCTTAATTAAACTATAAATAGAAAATAAACATAAACGATATCTAATTACAAAAATCTAATCAACAATAACGTTTTAGCTAAAAGTGTCATTCAACAATTTTTTTCAAAGTAATTTCTATCAAATTAAAAACCTCTATCGAGGTGAAGAACGAGTGACGAAACCAAAATTTGAAACACAAAATTTCTGATATCAATTTTTTGACGAAAATAGTTGGTAGATATATTTTCTGTGTACTGTGAATATAAACTTAATATACATTTATAAATTCAAAACGTTGCAGAAATTCTCTCCTTATTACTTTGAGTTCATACTGACGCAATGAAGCAACGTTCCGATTTATAAATGTATATTAAGTTTATATTCACAGTACACAGAAAATATATCTACCAACTATTTTCGTCACAAAATTGATATCAGAAATTTTTTGTTTCAAATTTTGGTTTCGTCACTCGTTCTTCACCTTGATAGAGGTTTTTAATTTAATATCAATAGTTTTTTAAGCGCTATTAGCAATAGAAAATCTTTTTCAAATACAAAGAAATTATGGATTTTAAGGCTATTTTTGAAAAATCAAATAAATTGTGGTTCATAATGGGGAAAAGTAGTTTTTTCTGTGGTGTGTGGTATGCATATTTTTTCATCTTTGACTTGGGGCTTAAATTGATGAAATTTTCAAGAGAACATATGCAGTCTTTTTCGAAAAAATGCCCGTTATGTGTGCGGCCAACGGTCAACTTTTGGTTTTTGGCCACCCCCACATGAAATTTTTAAGTCGCAATTGGCACCACTCGAGAGCTTACTTTAAGACCTTCCCAACAAATATGCATATGTCCTGGTTATGTCAAGTCTGAGTCCCACAGCGATCGTATGAAATAATGGCCATTTTTGCATGACCGCATAGTTTGCCATTTATACTAACATGTTTGTAGATTTTTTTTAATTTCATTTGTGACTAACCGCATGCACCTCTTCCGACGATAGTCCACATTCTGGCCTGGTGGGAGGGGACAAAAGATTCGGTACTTTATCGATCTTATGCGAGGAAAGTATCAAACATGTAGTTATTTGTTGTTAAAATTTCATATTTCATACATCTAGACATTTTTGTGAAAATTCGAATTTTGGTAGATTTGGCCGATTTTTGGTGGAATAGCCATCCAATCCAAAACGGTCGATATTCTGTTTGGCTAGTCACAGAGCATATTTACAGAGTCATTGGAGTACATTTTGGCCCATAAAATACTTCAAATGATAAAAGTAACATTTTTTGTTGAGACTTGGGCCTAAAATCGGTGAAATTTTCAAAAAAATCGTTGAGCTTGTTTTCGAGGTTATGGACGTTATGTGTCCGGCCGAACGGTAACTTTTTGGTTTTTGGCCAATCACGGGGACGGTAGTCCCCCAAGTGACGCAATACCAACATACATATGAAATATTTATATTTTGCGTCACTCTATATATACGTTAAAGAAATGAAAAACGATACCGCTGACTTTTGGAAAGGGGTTTTTGCATATTTTAGTAGTGCTTGGGCACCAAATGTGTGTACGTTTCCATATTTTTTGCGGCGAAAGATGCGACGCAATAATAACATTTTGTACATATTTGAGTGAACGCGTCACTGAAAATTTATATCAGAACATTTTCAGATTTAAAGTATTGCGTCACACTGAGAACTTGGAAAGAAGCATTTTTTACATATTTGGCCACTCCAACTTGAATTTTTGGACCGCAAATGACACCATTCGATAGCTCACTTCAAGACCAGTTCTGCAGTTGATCTTTCCAACGAGAGGTGTGTCAAGTGGATGTGCTTCGGTGACTGTAGGGACAAAAGGTATTGAGCTTTAGAATAAGAATATCGATGTTTCAGGGGTCAATGACCTCATTTAGTGCCAGCTATGGCCGCAGAACTAAATTTTGACCCTTTTCTTGAAAGGACCATATTTTGAAGACAGGTGGACCGATTTTCAAACTTTTATATTTTTTCTTTATCTATGGCCCGAAGGCTTTCCAACCATACATCAACCGGGGCGAAAGGCCTTCTGGGTCCGGATTTCGTATATTTCATGTATATATAGCGAGTTCAACTTTTCAACACACTAATGTGGTTTCGTCACTCGCACGAACTACCGTCCGCTGTGATTGCTAATTTTTCAATGAGCTATATTCAATTATTATTACTAAAATTTGAATAAATTCAGTCACGTGAGCACTTAAACCCTAACATATACACATACCATGTATTGACGAAGTCAACGAATTCATCAGAAAACTCTATATTGTTGTATGAAGATTGTAAGCGAGGCGGCTCACCTTGAACAACCTGATATAATTGTTCAAATACACTGCACCATTTTGGATACGGAAACCTTCCGGTCGCTATTTCGAATAATGTGATGCCTAAACTCCACACATCACTTCGTACGTCATAACCTTTTGCTCGTTGTGGATCAATTCGCTCCGGCTACACATGAAATGAGAAAAAAAAACAACATAAAACCTTTCTGCAAAACTTTTGTTTAACTTTTTCTTTGAACAATATTTTGAAGCTTAAATTATTATTATTTTTTTGTAAAAGAAATTACGTTAAGATTCATAAGGAATTATTGTTTAAAGAACGTTTACGTTCAATAATTGTTTTGGTTAAAACATTTGACAAAACAAAAATGTTAAATATGTATAGTGTAGAGAGTTAGAGTTCTTTCTAATTATATTTTACCGCCATGTAAGGTCTGCAACCAGCGTCTTTTGTCCTGGCAATTGAGTCCACCCTTTAATAGAACAATTATTAATTTCTTTCATATATTAATCCATTTTTCATGTATTTTTAGTGAATTTTGGGCCAAAAATATTACGCACAAGACACAGGAAATTCCGAAATCACAGAGCTTAATATCACCCCGCTGGTGTAATAGGATGTTACTTGGCTTCACATCTCTATGTATTATGTTCAATTTTTGTTTTAGATAATTCAATGCCTTTACAGTGGCCACTGTAATTTTTGCCAATATAGATTCTGGAATTCGTTCATTTTCCCGTTCGCATATGAACTTATAAAACTTATCCAGTGAAATATCCATTAGTTCCATGCAAATCCAACAATCGCCCTAAATATTTATTCTTATAAGTTATTATTATTTCAAAATACATAATGTTCTAAAATTCAATGTCAATATTTCTGTCACCGATTCCTCAGCAAAGGAGTAAAAATGACCCGAACGTCTTCGGTCAATATTTTCAGTAGCCTACAGACGGACGAACTTAGTGTTCTTAGCAAAATAATGATTTTTATCAATTTGCTTGAAGTTTTGATTATCTCACTCTTAAACGACTCCACTTGATCCAAGGAATATGTGATCTAAATACAGGCACCTAGTAGCTAATATCCAATATAAATTTTATCCGTTTACCTCTTTGAAAAGAGCTCCATAGAATTGAACGATATAATTGCAATCATTTGACTTCATCACTACTTCCAAATCCATTAGCAATTGTTTTTGTTCTTTTTCATCTACAGTTGATCTTATTCGCTTAACTGAAAAACAATATTTCAAGATACTCTTTTTTCAAACAAGCACATTTTTGTTAAAAACGTAAACAAAATTACCAGCCATGGTGGTGTTTGTACGATGAAAAATCATTTTGTTTACAGCCCCATACGCTCCTCGTCCTATTTCTCCATGGTCTATCAAATCATCTGATGTAAAATCCAAAGTCGGTTCACCAGGCGTTGTTTGTATCTTACCTGAAATAATTTTTGCAAATGAATATTTATTTAACTACAACTGAACGAATAAAATGTCATCTTACCACATGCTTGTAAACGAATTCTCTCTCTACATTGTCATCATTCAAAAACATATAGAAAAAATGTTAATGAACGGAAAAAAAAATGAATTCGAGATCGCCTAAAATTTACAACACAATTCGCAAATTTGAAGGAAAATGTGCATTATTATTTCTACTCACCGTGTTCGATCTGGTACATTTTGAGGTTTCATATTTTCTGGGCTTTTAACTGTATCGGATTGAAAACTCAATTTCAAAAGCCTTCTACGTTCGTCCGCCATTCTTACTATCTTTGTATACTAACTTTTAGTAATATATATTGTATATTAACTTTTTTTAATTATTGAACCTCATTTGAGAAGTAATTCAATATATTTCTTCTCTTATAATTTGACTTGTTAGATTAATAAATAAAAAATATTTGTGATGATTTTTCCAGCTGCACATCACAAACATTGACAGCATTTTGCAATATTTTTTAATTACATGTTACCCACACTGTGTGTCAATCATTGACATTTAAAGTAACAATTTGAGCAAAAATAAAATGGATAGCCAATATTATATTTCTTTCTCAAATAACCGCCATCTATCCATTAATAGATTTAATTTTGTGTTTCATTGGTTTTCAGTAGCAACAGTATATAGTAAAAAATCGGTGAATAAAAGAATAGAAGCAATCTCATGCATTTATTTGTTTTCGAAATGAAAACTTTTTATCTACGATTATGTTAGTTTATAATTCTTTAAGAAAATAATCTAAATTCAAAACATTGCATAGTTTACTCAAAAAATGCTATTGAAAAAATCGGAGAACAATCGGAAACAATATTTAAACTGTTATAAACAAAGAGAGAGTTTTTGCGTACATCTGTGTTTATAAATAAAATGCACGCGGCACGCATTTCATTCATGGGAATTTCGTTTCAAATCTTCACGATTTTCTTTTTGAATGTGTTGAAATTGGTAACCTTAGTAATCTTTGGACTATTGAGCTTCGATGTCATGTAGCCCCAAGCAAAAAAATCCAATGT